ATGCGTCGCTTTCACCCCCACTTAAAACGGGTTCGGAGCTCGGGTATAGAGCCTTTAGATGAAAAAAAAGTTCGGGAAGCTGAAATCATTAGAAAACGGTCAGTCAACTATTTACTCGGAAAAATATAATCAAAAGTAAGCAATAAGGATCGAAATGTTACCTTAAAATTTAAACTTACCCTTTTCATTAAAAAGACAACTGGAAATTACCTTAGCCTGACTCGTTTACCTGTCCCCAGCGGAGTCGCCAAGCTGTCGTAACCGTCTTTCAGTTGGGCCCCGGAATTGGGTTTCGACTTAGGAAAATGTGGATTGGAGTCGCCACCGACCACTTTAAAACGAATTTAGGTGGGTCGGACACCATTTTACCTGATCTGCGTTGTACCAGAAACGTGTCGAGTTTGGGAGTCGGTTACGATCAAGGAAGGATTAGCACCCTTGAACCGCCCTTTCGGTACCACATAATTTTTAGTTGCCTTAAATTAAGAAAATTGTAATTTTAAATAAAAAGGTAAAATTTGATCCTGATTACTTACCTTATATTGATTTGAAAATATCCTTAAAAAATTGAGAAATGTATTAGATAAACAAGGTAAAGAAAACAAATAAGATAAAGAGAATAAAATAAAAGGAAAAAATAAAATAAATAAAATAAATAAATAAGATAAGGAAAAAAATAGTAAAGTAATAATTATATATAGTAATATTTGAAAAAGGAAAAATATATATATATATATATACATCAAAGTATTAATAAAATAAATAAGCTATATATATATACAACAAATATTTAAAAATAGAAAAGCTAACATCTCACTTCACCGAAAGTGGGGGGCTTTAGTCAGAAATAAGATAAAAAGAGAAAAGTGGAGAGACTTTAGTTAGAAATAAAAAAAAAATGGGCCCTCTAAGTTAGTAGTATATAATATAATGTTTAATAATAATGATGATAAAGACACAAGAGTTTTTAAAAAATAATATAATAATGAATAAAAAAACAAAAATAATAAAAAATAATATATATATATAAAGTTATAAGATATATTACGTAAATAAAGAAATAATTAAATAAAAATAATTAAGAATATATATATTAATAATAGGTATATAAATAAACTATTAAAAGTATAAAAAAATATATAACTAAATAAAGATAATTACAATATATATAGTAATAATAGACTTATAAGTAAAATATTAAAGAAATATATATATATATATATAATAATAATAAAATATAGTAAAAAATCAAATGAAAATAATTTAAAATATATATATACACGTATAATAATAACATGAATAATAAAAATAAATGAATAAAATATCCATATAATAAATAAAGGGACTAATATAGATTTTTAAAAAGCTCTTTCCCTCCTTTAACCGAAAATCAAACCGGTTTTTCAAAATAAGCCTCGAAGAAGCGTAGATCTAAGAGAAAAGATCTCGGTTCCCTTGTGTTCATCGGCCCTTTCAAAGTAAAAACGGAAAAGAATAAGTGAAACAAGCCACATGCAAGCGAGAATCGAAGCAATATAGGTAAAAATATCTCTTTTATTTCTCTGTTGAAAATTACAAGCGAATCTTTGGGGTTTATTGCATATTTGCTTTGAGTATTTATTTGTGTGCGTAATCCCGTATGATAATCGTGTCCCCTAGTGTGGTAATTACAATGCTTATTTATAGTACTAAAAACCCTATTTTAGACTAGTATTTGAGTCCTAATCCAACTCTATTTTAGACTAGTATTTGAGTCTTAATCCAACTCTTCTTTTTTGGTTACATGAAGACTCTTCGGTTGACAGGACAAAATCTGGTGTCTTCATTACTTTAATTTATATAGATGAACATTCCATTTGTGAAAGAATGGATTATTTATATAAATTGGAAGAAGGTATAATTATCAAATACTCTAATAAAGTTTAATTGCTGGGAAATTACGACTCTTTAAAAGAAAAAAAGAATGGAAATAATGTTGTAGGTTCCAGGAACCCTGATACTAGACAGATGGTAGAAAGGGATTTGATTAGTGAATTAAAATAACTACAGCAATGGGAGATACTACCTAAGGAAGTCCACAACTGGGGGAAGTGTCGACAACAATAATAATCTGCGCCAGAAACAATTCAATTTCTTTATGATTAAAGATGATTCCATGTGTTTAGAATGTACCATTTTTCTTTTTTCTTTTTTAAACTTTTTGGATTCAGATCCATTTTTCATTCTTTAAATTATATTATGAGAAGTTTTGGATAAGTTGATCCCATCGTGTTGCTAATTAATCCCGTACAGATGAATTGGGAATGGAGTTAAAAGAAAGTGGCGTTATGCCTGTAAACCAACAGAATGAACACAAACGGAGTATGTTCATGTTCGTTCGTTTAACTTTAACCAAATAAATGAATGAACACGAACATAAACAAACAAAAAATTTCTTGTTCGTGCTCGTTCGTTAAGGAATATAGCTTGTTCGTGTTCGTTCATTTAAATGATAAACGAACACAAATGAACGAACATAAACAAACATAATAAACGGACCTAAACGAACGTAAATGAACATAAATGAAAATATTTTTTTTTCTTTCCTAACAATTTTAGGATTATATTTTATTTAATTATTTTGAGCTTTTTTATTTGTATTTAAAATTAATTAAATTTTAAAATATTTATGGGTATCATATTAAAATTTATTGGGCTTTAATATTTTTAATAGATCTAAAGAGATTTGAATAAACATAAATGAACACACATAAACAAACATAAACGAACGAACATAAATGAACATAAATGAACATATTACCGAACGTTCATGAATGTAAATGAACGAAAGAGCCCTTTGTTCATGTTCGTTCATTTAATTAAACAAACACAAAATATTGTTCATGTTCGTTCGTTTAATAAATAAATGAACATAAACGAACTTCCCGTCGAACGGTTCACTAAACGTTCAGTTCGTTACATCCCGTCGAACGTGAAGAATTTATTTAGTAAAGAAGTGTTTTGTATTTTATAGTGGTGAGATATTTATTTAGTAAAGAATTTCGTTACATCCCGTCGAACGTAAAGAATTTATATTGAGTAATAGAATTTGGGGTAAGGTATACAAATGGTTTTCAGGCGTTGCTAATTTGTTAATTCCTTCAACTATTTAAAGTTGTAAAATGATCTTTTAATTATAAGATGTTGCTTTATTGAGTCCCATGGCTATTAAAAGTTATAAAATAGTCACCTGATTATTCATATGTTCCAAACTTGTTCTTTTTCGTTAAAAAATTAATGATCGTCTGAGTTGGACGTTAACCTACTCATTAGAGAATGATAAAATATGGTCCTCGAATCGTTTGAGCTATATGTTGTATATCAGTCTCTATTTGTATTATATCGTCAAGTCAATGCTTAAAATATTATGACGTCAAGTTAGTGTTTGAAAGCAACGAAAATAGCAATATACATCATTAAAATATAATTTTATCATATCACATTCAGTAAGTTAACATCTAGCTCAGACATTTGTCAAATTTTTAATGAAAATGATGAGTTTAAAAACATGTGAATAGTCGGATGATCATTTTATAACTTTTAACGGTCTAGGGACTAATAGAATAACACTCTATAGTCGAGGGATACTTTTGTAATTTTTAATAATTAATAGACTCAATAAATCAATGTCCTATAATGGTGGATCATTTGTTTACTTTTCCCTAGAATTTATATATAACATATAAATTTATGGAAAATGTGATAAACGTGATAGGGATGACCAATTTTTAAATAATAGAATCAGAGGGTATTTTCAGTTTTTTAAAAGCTATTATCCATTTGTTGATAGAGTTATAATACAAATATGAAAAAGAAAACCTTTTTACTCAACATCAATCAATCTAATTCATCAAATCTTTAATATAAATTCACTGCTCGAGTTTTCACTTCACAGCCATGAATATTAATTAAGAGAGAAAAGTATAATGAAGTCCATAAATCTCGAGTTTTCGCTTCACATTGCAAGTGGAAAATAGAGAATGAAAGTCTGTGGAGTTCTCACTTCACAAATAGGGCAACACCTCATCAGCCCTCATGGGATTTGAAACCAACAATTAATAATGCAAACATGAAGACCAGTGAATACGTAAAAGAACGAGGGTGAAAGACTCCCACGTTGTCGCTTCACGGTCCAACCCATAAATTATTTTTCATTCCTTCAAATGGGGTTTTTTTTTGGTATCTTTGACCCATATAATATATTTTTACCATCTTTCATATTTAAAATATTGTATAGCACAATTTTATTTATCGTTTTATATATTATTTACGTTTTTCATACCGAGTTTGGGCTAGAGGAATCTCTCTTGGGCAAATCATGGGCCCTTATAAGGTGGGTTTGCCTTCATTGATTTCAATTAACTAAAAGGGTAAACTACACAAATGGTCACTAATATTTGAGTAAGTTTTTATTCTTATTATTGATGTTTTGAAAGTCACAAATCAGTTACTAACGTTATACTTTATTACAAATTGGTCACTCGAGATTAATAACCGTTACTGTGGGTGACGAAAAGCTGACACGGTGTGTTAATTGTTGATTTGACATCATTTGACCATTGTTTTGACCTACCATTCTCTTCCATCTTCACTCTCTCATCTCCATACTTATTTTTAACTCAAAACCCACCCACCATTTTTATTAGTCTTTCTTCTTCAATGTTCATCTTCAAGCTCATCCCACAACTCTCTTTGTCTTGTGCAAAGAAACCATGATGAGTCTTGATGTTTTGGTGGCCATCCATCAAAGAAACGATGGATTGTTGTCATATGTTTGAAGAAGATGAGCTCGTTGTTAATGGCATAAATTGCCATGAATCCTCCATTAATGAATCTGAGAAGCTCCTAGAAGGCTTAGTGGCATGTGTTTAAAGTGATAGCCCAATGCCAAGAGCTCTTGAGGCATGGGGATACATGAAGCGGTCATTGAGTTGTGATTGAAAACCGGTGTAATCGATTCCATGGTGGTTGTTTTCATTGTCGGAGGAAACAAGCTTAAGGACAAGATTTGGATTGTTGCCGGAGTGTTTGTCATTGTTGTAGCACTAGGTTTCATAGGCTTTCTCGAACAGTTTTTGCCTCTATACATGTGCCTTTCGTAGCTTGTTTCGAGCATCTCCATTTTTTCCCATCGGTTCTTCAACACCTCCCAGGCTCCGAGTCCATTTTTCTCATCTTGAAACAATTCCATCCAAGTACCAAACACAACAACGAAACACCATTGTTAAAACCAGAACCAAACAACAACAATTCATTACAAAAAAAATTGAGGCTTCAAGTTTTTACCATGTTGAGGCCAGTGACAGATCCAAAAATTTAAGAATGAGGGTCCAAAATTTTAATTTTCTTTTCTTAAAAATGTGCAAAAATTGTAATTTTTTTCTTTTTTCCTTAACACATTAAGCTAAATTTAACAACTTTTCCAAAATAATAGGGATGCACTTGGCCCCTATAGGGGCTTAGTGCATCCGTCACTGGTTGAGGCTGATAAGAGAAAAACCTGGAAGAAAATGAGGAGTACTCCTCCAAGAAGCTTCTTTTTATGGAGAAGATGATATCATGTGGTATAGGAATGCCTGAGACTATATACTTGAAGATTAAAGCTTGATGTTCAAGCTCTTTCAATTGAGTAGCAGCAAAAGGGTATATGTTTCTTCCACTCATCCTCATCCAAGCGAAGCTAACGAGAAACCTCAAAATTCAATAAAAGAAAGAACATTAACATGAAGAAGAATACTTTATTATACTAATTGAAAGGCTTGTAATTGTAGTAGAGTAGGTATATTTATATTGGGGGGTCATTTTCACTGCAAAAACCTTCTTAACATGGATGAAAATTAAAAACTAACGATTCTGATTATTGTCATGCCATACCATGATATTTCCTCTTCTTAGGGGAGCTTTGCATGAGACAAAGAGAGCCATGGGATGAGCGTGAAGATGAAGATTGAAGAAGAAAGACTAATGAAAATGGTAGATTTTGAGTTAAAAAGAAGTATGGAGATGAGAGAGTAGAGATTGAAGGGAAGGGTAAGTCAAATTAACGATCAAACAGTGTCAAATCAACAGTTAACATGCTATGTCAACTTTCCGTCACCCGCTGTAACGACTGTTAACATTGAGTGACCAATTTATAACAAACGATAACATTAATGACTGATTTATGACTTTTGAAACATCAGTGGTGAAAACGAAAACATACTCAAACATTAGTGACCATTTACTTAGTTTACACTAACTAAAAAGGAACCGAAATGGAATTGTTTCATTCGCTCTCTAAATGACAAAAAAGATAAATTAATCTGATGTCGGCCATTGTTTGTTAATAAAGTAGTATTTTATATCTAATTTCATTAAATTTAATCAAATTCTGATAACTTCGACTATATATGGATACAAATATTTTACTACGTACATAAGATCAACCGACTTACTCTCTTCAAACCGCTATAAAATCCCCCACCCTTGGCTCCAAATCCTCCATCCTATACTCTATCCTATCAATTACTTCTACTTGAAGCTTACCGTAGCCCTATTTTTTGCACTCAACATTCTCTTCTTTTCTCTAGTCAGTGTTTGTGGTTCCTGCCCTTCCCCCAAGCCTAAACATAAACATAAACACAAACCTAAGCCAAAACCCACCCCATCTCCCACTCCTTCTGCAGGAGACAAGTGCCCCACGGATGCCCTTAAACTAGGTGTGTGTGCTGATCTGCTCGGTGGGTTGCTCAACATCACCCTTGGTACCCCTCCGGTTGAGCCATGTTGCACCCTCATCCAAGGCCTTGCTGATCTTGAGGCCGCCGTTTGCCTTTGCACTGCTATCAAAGCTAATATTTTGGGCATCAACCTTAATGTCCCACTTTCCCTGAGTTTACTTCTCAACGTCTGCTCAAAGAAAGTTCCCCCCGGTTTCCAATGTCGTTAAGTAGTTTTCTCTCTTCTTAGTCTTGTTGCGTGGTTTTTGATGTTCTAATGTCATCCAACATGGAGTCATCAATGTTTTATTGGTGACTGGTTGTTTAATTACCTTGCTGTACTTGTAGGGTTGTTTCCTTTCGGATTGATACCGAATAAATGTAATACTATATAAAAAAAAGGTGTTTAATTTCTTTGGATCTATGTATCTTAATTTATGGGAAATGAAATACTAGTGTAATTCAACTTGTTTATTTGAAGAAGCCGGCAATCTTTCTTTATTGCAGAGTAGAAGCATGTCGGATTTCTCAGTTTTCTCATGCCACAGTCTTTCTTTCCGTGAACTTTTTATTTATTATTCGATGCTCTAAAATCTTCAGGTTGAAACATCGCCTGGTTTTGTACCCTTGTCTCTATCGCTTCTTACTATCTTACTGCAAGCCCAGTGTAGCGCACACGCAATAAATACATCATATCGGTTTTTAAGGTCACTAACTTTTAATAAAACCACCACTTAAAATGATTATAAAGTAATATTTATTTATTATTTTTTTAATATTTGACAAAGCGAATATATCATGTAAATTCAACTACTTAAACTTGGGATATCAAGAAAAAAATAACACTTACTTTAACTACAAGGTTACTATAAATTTTATATTTCATAAACAGCTCCAAAATCTTTAGAACATTTCCAAAAATTAAAGGGTTTGAGCTAAACCTTGAGCAATGAATCGCGTGCACCGAACCTAACGGAATGTAATCATAAAGCACAATAAATATGAAACACTACCAAAACCTATTGATTAAGCAATAGGATATGCAAAATATAATCTAATTAATGAAGCAGTTGGAGAAGGGAACTGTTGGGGGAAAACAGGTTATTTCCCACACGAACGTAGTTTTAAAATTGACCTAAAATATCAAGATTAAAACCACCAAAGGTTGCACAGCGGATAAACCTGTCAAACTATTGAATATTGAAACACAATAGAAAAGAACCGAATAAAAAACAATAAAGGAGAGAACACACCAAATTTACGAGGTTCGACAAGAATATCGTCTACTCCTCGGGCACCACACCGGATGATGACTTCACTATATCGCCAATATTACAACAAATAGAATTCTTTAGAATTCCCAAAGTGGGAGAATGAAGAATACAAGAGGAAGAGAGAACTTGTTTTTGGGATAATTTCTAATGGAAATACTTAGGCCTATTTATAGTTGAGTTTCAATAACAATATGTTCAAAGTTTGGCCACCTACCAAAAAATTTTCCAATGTGTACAAGTTAGCCACCAAATATGAAATTCACATGTTCAAAGTTTGGCCACCAACCAAGATGAAATTTCCAATAAGTTGGCCACCAACCAAGATGAAATTTCCAACTTGTCAACTTAATTTCTAGACAAATCTAACAAATCTCCACCTTGGCTTGAAATTGCCAAGCCTACTCAACTTCTTCAACTCCCCAAATTTGTAAAGCCTCTAATTGCGCTCACAAGCGCCACACACCCGAAGGTGTTCATACTTTCAGGATGTTAATCAAGTTCAAACAATGATTGAACTTGATTACTGTTACCACCTTGGTCATCATATCTGTAGGATTTTCTGATGTCGCAATTTTCTGAAGTAGAATCTTTCCTTCTTTAAAGATCTCCCGCACAAAGTGATACCTCACGTCGATATGCTTAGTCCTTGAATGGTAGACTTGATTTTTTGCTAAGTGAATAGCGCTCTGACTGTCACAATAGAGACTAATGTGACTTTGAACAACTCCCAAGTCTTCCATCAACCCGTTAAGCCAAATTGCTTCATTTACAGCCTCTGAAACTGCCATGTATTCTGCCTCTGTAGTAGACAAGGCCACCGTAGATTGCAATGTAGACTTCCAACTTACTGGGGCTTTAGCAAAAGTAAACAAATACCCAGTAGTTGATCGACGCTTATCCAAATCACCAGCATAATCGGAATCAACATATCCAACCATACACTGACCAAGTGCTTCATCCTGTTCAAAAACTAAACCAACATCCACGGTTTGTTGGAGATACCGTAGAATCCATTTCACAGCTTGCCAATGTCTTTCTCCAGGATCATGCATGTACCTGCTCACAACTCCAACTGCTTGTGAAATGTCAAGACGCGTACACACCATTGCATACATCAAGCTCCCAACTACATTAGCATATGGAACTTTTGCCATATACACTCGTTCTTCGTTAGTTTTAGGAGATAATTAAGAACTAAGTTTCAAATGAGAAGCCAATGGGATACTTACATGTTTGGTATTTTCATTCATGCCAAAACATTGTAATACCTTTCTCAGATACTACTTCTGTGTTAAACAAAGCTTCCCTCTCTGTCTATCTCTGCTTATCTCCATACCAAGAATCTTCTTGGCCTCACCTAGATATTTCATCTCAAACTCTTGATTCAACTGAGCCTTTAATTTGTCTATCTCCTTTTGACTCTTCGAAGCGATCAACATATCGTACAAGAGAAGATAAATGAAATATCCATCTTTGAGCTTTTGCAAATACACACAATGATCATATTTGCTTCTAGTATACTTTTGCCTCCTCATAAAGCTATCAAATCGCTTGTACCACTGCCTCGAAGATTGCTTCAATTCATATAGCGATTTGTTCAGCTTACAAACCCATTTCTCACGACCACCATCTTTGTATCCTTCTGGCTGATTCATATAGATCTCCTCTTCTAAATCACCGTGCAAGAAAGCCGTCTTTACATCAAGTTGAGCTAGCTCCAAATTCAACTGTGCTACCAAGGCCAACAATATTCTAATGGAGGAATGCTTCACAACAGGGGGAAATACTTCATTGTAGTCGATTCCCTCCTTTTGAGCGTAGCCTTTAGCTACCAACCGTGCCTTGTAGCGAACATCTTTCTTGTTATGAGATCCATCTTTCTTTACAAATACCCACTTGCATCCAATGGCTCTTTTACCTTTCGGTAATTGTGCCAGTTTCCAAGTGTTGTTCTTTTGGAGAGATTGCATTTCTTCATCCATGGCACTTTTCCACTTATCACTTTCCAAGCTTTGTATTGCTTCTTGGTAAGTGATAGGGATATCATCATCAACAACTGGAAGAGCATAGGCCACCATATCAACAAATCGAGCAGGTCTACAAATTTCTCTCCTTGGCCTTGTAACTGCAAGTGTTTCTGGTGTCTCCAATGGTTCTTGGGTTTGAACCTCTTCATCTTCTGATTCTTCTATTGGAGTTGAAGAATCAGCTGCATCAACTTCTGGGATCATCAACTGCTGAAACTCCACCTGTTTTGGAGTATGCTCCACCTGCTGCGGAGTACTACTTGTCTGGACAGCTTCACTTGTTACCTTCTTTACTAGGGCAGATTCATCAAAGGTAACATCTCTGCTACAAATTACCTTTTTGGTGTCTAAACACTAAAGGCGGAATCCCTTCACTCCATGGGTGATTCCCATAAAGAGAGCCTTCTTTGCTCTCGGATCAAGCTTGGATTCCTTCACATGATAATAAGCAGTGGATCCAAATACATGTAAGGAATCATAATCAGTAGCAGGTTTTCCAGACCATACCTCCAATGGTGTTTTCCCTCCTATCGCTGATGACGGCAGACGATTAATGAGATGGCCAGCATATGTCACAGCCTCAGCCCAAAATGCCTTGCCTAACCCAGCATTAGACAACATACATCGAACTTTCTCCAATAGTGTTCGATTCATAAGCTCTGCCACCCCATTTTGTTGTGGTGTATGTCTAACAGTGAAGTGTCAAACAATACCATACTCATGGCAAACGTCAAAGAATGGGTCACTTTTATATTCCCTTCCATTGTCCGTCCTAAGACGTTTAATCTTTCTACCAGTCTGGTTCTCGATCATATTTTTCCATTTTAGGAAAATTTGAAGCACTTCATCTTTAGACTTCATCGGATACACCCAAACTCTTCTGGAAAAGTCATCTACAAAAGTTACAAAATAATGGTTTCCTCCCAAAGACGATGCCTTTGAAGGACCCCATACATCTGAGTGAATATAATCTACAATACCTTTTGTATTATGTATAGTGGTGCCAAACTTCACTCTCTTCTGCTTTCCCAGAACACAATGCTCGTAAAAGTTCAATTTACAAGCCTTTTCACCTTTCAACAATCCTTTCCTTGCCAGAATTTGCAAGGATTTCTCTCCAGCATGTCCCAACCGCATATGCCACAACTGGGTTGCGTCCAAATCATCACCTCCAGAAGCTGCTGCAACTGCTCCAATAATTGTACTACCTTGGTAGTAATACAAATTATTTTTCCTGATGCCCTTCATCATCACAAGTGCGCCATATGTGACTTTTAAAACTCCATCTCATAGTGACTACTGAGCCTTTGGATTCTAAGGTTCCCAACGAGATGATATTTTTCTTCAAACTGGGCACGTATCGGACATCCGTCAGAACTCTGGTTGATCCATCTTGATTCTTCAATCGAATTGAACATATCCCAACAGTTTTACAGGCATTGTCATTGCCCATATAAACAACTCATGCATTTAGTTCCACTAAATCGGAGAACCACTCCCGATTAGGGGACATATGATAGGTGCAACCCGAATCTAATATCCACTCATCGGAATGGAATGTTGTTGATGAAGAAACCAATGATATGTCAGAGTCATGTGCATCATTCTCTGCAATACATGCATCTGGAGCAGCTTTTCCTTTCTTCTTCAGCTTCGGATAATCTTTCTTCCAATGGCCTTTCTCATGACAAAAGGCACATTTATCTTTTCCCAGTCTGGACTTCGACTTTGATCTCCCACTCCACTTTGGCTTTTGACTTTTCGAGCGACCTCTTGCCACCATGGCCTCTGCTGCTTCGTACTTGCTCTCCTTCTTGGTTTTCTTCCAGAGTTCATAACTATACAAAGCAGCAGTTACATCTTTAAGGGTAACATTATCCTTACCATGAAGTAACGTTGTCTCAAGGTGCTCAAATTCATCTGGAAGAGATGACAACAACATCAAAGCCAAATCTTCATCTTTGAAGGTTTCATCCATGCCCAATAAGTCTTCCACTAGCTCATTGAACGCAGTGATGTGTTCATTCATACTGGTGCCTGGTTGATAATCAAATCTGAACAATCTTTTCTTCATGTGGAGACGATTCTGAGAGCTTTTCTTCAGGAATTTTTCCTCCAAAGCTTTCCACATCTTACTTGCAGAAGTCTCGTTCTTGTAGCCGTACTTCTGCTCCATGGAAAGACAAGATCGAATCGTGTTGCACGCCAAACGATTGATTGTTCCCCATTCTTTCTCCTCCATATATTCGGGCTTTTCTTCCTCAATGGCGATGTCTAGACCTTGTTGGAATAAAGCGTCTAACACCTCGCCTTGCCACATGCCAAAATGACCGGATCCATCGAACAACTCCACCGAGAAATTTGCATTTGACATCACCCTCCTCACCGGTCCAGATGAAGAGCTTGATGTCTCAACTGATCCGTATTTTGGCATTTTAATTCTAACGAACAATATTCAATATAACGAACTGTATCTTTTCAGCAACGGAACCACCAAGATAACCTCAACCGAAGCTCTGATGCCAATTGTTGGGGGGAAACGGGTTATTTCCCACACGAACGTAGTTTTAAAATTGACCTAAAATGTCAAGATTAAAACCACCAAAGGTTGCACAGCGGATAAACCTGTCAAACTATTGAATATTGAAACACAATGGAAAAGAACCGAATAAAAAACAATAAAGGAGAGAACACACCAAATTTACGAGGTTCGACAAGAATATCGTCTACTCCTCGGGCACCACACCGGATGATAACTTCACTATATCGCCAATATTACAATAAATGGAATTCTTTAGAATTCCCAAAGTGGGAGAATGAAGAATACAAGAGGAAGAGAGAACTTGTTTTTGGGATAATTTCTAATGGAAATACTTAGGCCTATTTATAGTTGGGTTTCAAAAACAATATGTTCAAAGTTTGACCACCTACCAAAGAATTTTTCAATGTGTACAAGTTAGCCACTAAATATGAAATTCACATGTTCAAAGTTTGGCCACCAACCAATATGAAATTTCCAATAAGTTGGCCACCAATTAAGATGAAATTTTTTAACTTGTCAACTTAATTTCTAGACAAATCTAACAGGAACGTGGTCGCATATCCATGCAGATATTCATGCAAGGCACAACAAGTGTAAACGGTAGTCGGATTACTGCGAGCTATCTCTGTCGTTCTTACGTTTTTCATGTCGTTCTTACGTTTTTCATGTCGTTTATTGCTTAGAGTATTAGGGAAAAATAGAGATATAGGTGTCAGACTTTTTTTTAGATAACCATGCAGTGGTTTCAGGTCGGTGTGGTGGCCCATGGCTCATGGTTTTGAGAGCCATAGAGCAACTAATGAAGCACAGTATGAAGTCCGTGACTAATATGAATGGATTCCCAAATAGGGGAAAGAAAGGAAAAGAAGGTTGATTTCACTTCAACATCCCTCACTGCCAAAAAAAAAAAAGCAAAAGATTCCTTGGCATTGCCGTTGGATTTCCACTAACCACAATATCCAAAAGAATTCAGGATAATTAATGTTGGTGATCATCTTCTAAAGAAAGAGCAGCTTAATTGCATTGTCCCACTTAAGCACTAATTCAATCCTGTGAACCATTTTTGTCGCCTATTATGACCCATCATAATCCAATTATCAAGTTTCCACACTCTCCACGACACATGCATGGAACACGTATACTACCATAATATAATTAAAATACAACAATGATTAAAGAAAAAGTTCTACCGAAGGTTAAAGAAAAACAAATTCTAAATCAATTGAAAATACAACAATGGTGAAACCCTAGGACAAACCGACCTAATCAAACCTAATAATGGAAAAGTACACATTATTTTCAAAAAAAAAATTTGTAGTTAATTAATGAAACAGTCAGCATGGGTGGCCAAGGTGGCAACCCTGCCTAGAAACTGAGCTCACGATCTGATTATTTTGTTACTTGTGCGTCCGGAGAAAGTTTATTCGATCACCTCGTTTTTGGATGAATGGCGGCCATTAAAGAGGAGGACAAATGAAACCAGGTGGAGGGTTTTTCCCACACGTTATTAAAGCTTGAAGAGCGAGGGGGATGAAGATGTTAAGGTTGAGGAGCTTAAGCCTTATAGCAGTGCAAAGACAAACGGCTGCTTCAAGCTCTAGTAAACCACCCAGCACTGGGCAGCAAGAGTTCTCAACTGGGTTTCCTAATCCAATATGCACCAATCCTCCAAGCACATCCACGCACAGTCCTAGCTTAAGTGCATTAACCGGGCATGTTGGTTGTGTAGTTGGTGGAGCAGGAATGCTACCCCCACCTCCGCCACCGCCACCACCACCACCACCGCTACCACCGCCTCCTCCAGAGGGTGGACTGCCGGCGTATGGTGGATAAGGAGAAGAAGGTGGTCGGATTGTAACGGGAGGGTTCGTTATTGGTGGAAGAATAACAGGTGGCCTTGGCGGCTTTACCTTTGGGGCGCCTCCATGTCTCGGTGGATGTTTTATTTTAGGGTTACCGGGGTATTTTGGACGGTGGTATGGGGGAGGTTGTGGTTGCGTGCATGGCGTACAAGCATAAATGGGTGGTAACGACACAAACAAGAAAATCAACAAGATGAAAAACATGGCTGTAATCTTCCAAGCCATGACTTAGAGTTTCAAGATTGTTCCCCCTTGAGTCTTAACAGGGTTTGGATCAAAGCAAACTATATATAGCTGAACTTTACGTATAAGTGTGTTAACAACTAGTCCATTACAGCTGTACCTGGTGAATAAAAAATATGGAGGATACGATTTCCTAGAGATGAAGTTGAAAAATAAATTGAAGATTTTGGAACCGTGTAGGTTGTTTTGCAAACTACAATGTCCTATCCGTGACTATTGAGCTAAGTTCGAATCCGTGAATAAGTGTTTAATTTCCAAGCAGCAGCAGGTTCAGTTTCGCAGATTTCAATGACCTATTCTTTGTTTGTTTCTTTCCCATCTTCATTTTCTTTTCTTTTTCATCGTTTTGTACGCTTTTGGCCATTAGGTTTTAGTTCTTTCTTGGGTTACTTCTGCAATTTCCTTTTTTTGATATATATCTTCTAATTTACAAATGATTCTGCTGAGAAAAGAAAAAACGATTCTCCAGAATCTCCACGATCTTTCGAACTGAATATTTTACTGCCCCACATCCTCTATTATTTCTGCTTTGCTTAGTTGTAAGATCAGTGGATGGTACAGAAAGTGACTGTGTCAGCAGAATTCATCGATGAGGTAGGTAGGGTTTTGCATTTTGCTGTTGTAGTGTGTATTTTTCCCCTCTTCGTTACTTTCACTAATCGAACATGTGAAACTTCATTCATCGTTTCATATAATTGATGATCTACGATGTTATCATTTATTTCAAATTTCCAGCAATTGCTTTCTCGAATTAGAACATTAATTAGTTGGTGGTTTTTCTGTAGTATTCGTAACTTAATTCATTAAAATTATAATTTTTAGGCTTAATTATACAAAAGGTGCCCAATATATGCCCATTTTTTTAATTTAGTGCCTAACGTTTATTTCGTTTTAGTTTGGTGTCTAACGTTTCATTCCGTCACTCAAAATGGGTCAAGCTGTCAACGGGCATTCATTTCCTTCGTTAAATGACATATGTCACAATCTGATAATTTTAAAAATTTTATACAAAATTTAAAAATTATATATATTTTTTAAAAAGAAAACACATAAAATTCTAAATAGCCCCAAATCTTTGAAAACTTTCATTTCAACCCTAAACCCACGCCGACCGCCGCCCTTCACCGTCGACAAAGCTCCATCCAACATCACCTCCCCCCGGCGACCAAAACCCCTATGAAATTGTAACTGATCAACGGTTGATCGATGGCGAATCGTCATTTTATACCCCGCGAACCCTAGGATGAAAATTGCAATCCCAAGCGATTTCAACGGTCAATCTATGACAGCTACGGCGACTTATAACTAGGATGATGACAATGACTACGTCGGCGGCGGTGACGAGTTAGTGTTAGTGTTAGGATTTGAGGATTTTTGGGATTTTGAGGCTTTTTGTAATTTAAAAGAAATAAGGGGTTTTTTAATAAATATAATAATATTTTTAATATTTAATTACGAGATTCTGACACATGTCACTTAACGGAGAAAACTAACAGTCCTTCACAGCTTGACACATTTTGAATAAAGGAATGAAATGTTAGACATCAAACTTAAACAAAATAGACATTAGACGCTAAACTGGAAAAACTAGCATAGGTTGGGACCTTTTATATACTAAAGCCTTTTTTTCTAACATGCATGGTGTACTTATACTTAATATTAGAGAGAGAGATTACTTTTTTTTATCAAATATATTTCTCTGAGTTATTTTTTTTCGAAACTAGAAAGTGGCTAGTTTTTTAAAAAAAATATATAATATGTATATTTGATGAAGGTTTATAATCATCATCGTAAACTAAAAGTATAATAAGACATCTTTGTTATGGAATTTGGGTTAATTTCCACCAATAATAACAAATTCACCTTGAAAACTATTATCTAGGTGACTAGTGTGAAAACGATTGTACTAAAAATCACCCCAAGGTAGATTCCCAGGAAAGAGGAGGGGTCACAATGGTCCCTCTTAAAATCCACTTTCCTTAGACATAACTACCAAGACAAGTAGTTTTAATAGGACAATAATTAACAACAACTATACCCGACAATAGCTATTAAATAGACATAAAGAGAACACCAAAATTTAACAAGGTTAGGCCAAAATTATGCCTACCTCCTCGAACACTACTAAAATAATATTTCACTAGTAGAGGAAATATTACAAAGAGAAAGAAAGAATACAAATAGCCTTTAATATAGAAGAAGGCTTATATTTGTGGGATACTAAACTAAGGAGGAGGAGGGCTCTATTTATAACAAAAGAATTTCCCCTCCTCCTTATACAAAACCAATGTGGGATATTTGCCAAAAACCAACAAATCTCCTGTAACACCCCCAACCCGTACCCGACCCGGATACGAGTCCGACGTGTCACATTGACTTTTCAAATCTTGACTCTTAAGAAAAATCCCGGGAAATTTAAAACTTTATTTAAAACAAAATACAGACTTGATCAGAGTGCTCGTACTAAATGACTTATTACATGCCAACACTTTATACATAACCAAATACATACTTTGTCAAATACTTCTGATCTGATCTTTTAGTAGTGATACTGTCTTTGCCACTTCTATTCTTTCACTTCTCGTTCTTGGTACCTACGTGTAAATCACTTACACGCTAAGTCATAAACTTAGTGAGGCATATAAAACATATAATATAACCATATATCATTTCATATAAATAAAAGACATACATATACAAACACTATCAATAATCCTTTCCACTTACCATATACTCATCATATAACACATATAATTCATGTATGTGCATTCATATCATTGAATCACTACATATCAATATGCATGAATCTATGGTATGATAACAATATACAATCAGGTCATGCACACATGCAACTTACCTTCTTTTATCACTTTCACTTTCATTTGTCTTTCAATTTCATTGCCCATGTATATTATTGAGAATAGAGGTATGTGAGTACATTGAGGTTGTGCACTAATGTTGTCACCACAGCTCGTATAAATGTCCCGAAGGACCTATCCAGAGGTCACACAGACCCCGGTAACTATCCAGAGGTCATAAAGAACCTCGGCAACTGTCCATAGGTCCCAAAGAACCTAGGTAAACTGTCCATATGTTCCTTAGAACATAGGTATACTGTCCATATGTCTCGAAAGACATAGGTAAAACCCTCGAATCTTGGCATGCCAACTATATCTATAGCTCTCGTATCATATAACATGGGCATTTTCACTTATATCATTTCACATATACACTTTCATATCACATGCCATATAAGCTCATAGCTTCTTTCACATATACATGTAGTCACATAGCTTCTTTTCATATTCTCATAGGATCACATAGTTCATATCTTATACTTTGTTTTCTCATGTTCACATATATCATGTCATATGGCTCATATCTTTCTCATGCAGTCACATAGTTCAGTTTCACATATGTTCATATATATACATTACATAGCACATACTTCTCATAACATTACATTCAAAAGCATGTCAACACATATAATCATGCATACATACAATTCATGTCATTCATATACGTATAATCATATATTCATGCATTCTATCATAGGAAATAGACTTGTCACAAGTCTTGTTTCCATTTAGCACCATAAACTAATTAATATGCACTCACCTTAGCTTTGCTTTGATTCGATTCTAATTCCTCAATTGTCCTGAAACGGATCACTTTCTATCTCTACATAACAATACACAGATTCATATCAATATTCCAATTGATATATTCTAAACTGTCACTTCTTAGGCTAAGAGAAAAGCCCATTTCCTCTTTCAATGAATGTATGCATCGATGCACTACTTGTGCATCGGTGCATAAAATGCATTCGATGTTTTTTATTTAAATTCATGCATCGATGCACTGCATGTGCATCGATGCACCTTAAACAATTTCTGGTATTTATCATCGATGCATCGGTGCACAATGAATGTGCATCGATGCACATTGCCCAGAACTGACATTTTAGCACGTAAATCATCAACTCTTCCCTTAATTCTTCTATTTTAAGCCCCTATTTTGACATTAAACTCAACTACTATAACTTGAACCAACTTATATCCATGCAAATCATCTTTAACCTCAAAATCCTATCTTCTTTATGAGATTTAAGAATCATACCAAATTTTCTATATGTTCTAAATCCAATTATATCACTCCAAATCTCTTAATTTAACCATTGACAAGTCAAATTCATCCTTAGAATTTCAAAAACCTTTCTATATCAAAAGTTCATTTCTAATCTTTTAATAGAAATTCCTTTCTCATTCTCTCTTCTTGATGTTTTAAGCTTATATAAGCTTTCCTTAAGCTTATATAATACTCCAAGAATCAAAATCAACTTATAAATCCAAGAATTAAACAGCTTAAATTAAGCTCACCTTTAAACGAGGCTTACGGGGAGAAGAAGAAGCTGGAGAAGAAGACACTGGATAATTATCTCATATCCCACGTGTTTTATAACCCTTAAAAGAAAGATAAAAATATTTCTGGTCAAATGACCAATTTACCCTTTATTTCCTTTAATAATTACTGAATAACCTTAATCATATTTCCAATAAATCATTGCACTATTCAATTATCCTACTTTAATCACCAATTTCTGAAACTTTATAATTTGGTCACTAACCCGGTATTGAGGATGTTACAAATCTCCCCTCCTTTAAAGAAAATTCGTCCTCGAATTTTCACTGAACAAATCAATAAGAACATATCTTCTATTGTTCTCATGATACCTCATTTACTTATTTTTTTCCTTCCTGTATTTCTTCAATTGTCTTTTTCTTTTATACATTTATTTTCTGTTACTTATCATAAACACAGTAACTCATAACCTCAATCCATTTCCTTTCTTTATTTTATTTCTCCTTTATTTATTCCTTATACACAAATCGTATCTTTCTTTTCATATTCACATACTCTTGTCTTATCACTTATACTCATCTTTATGTACCAATCTTCATTGCATCCTCATTACTCTGATAACCCATTTCTTATACATAACTTCATTCTTTATCATTTCTTATACTTGTATTTCCTTCCTGAAGGTTCCATGCAAATACTTATCTCTGTTTCTACATCATAGCTATCTGCTCAGAATATACAACTATATTCAAATTCACATCATAATCAATTAACTCAACTTTTTCTTTTCCCTCAATCTTATAACTCTATCACCTTTACTCTGACAACTAGTCAATAACATATGTTCAATATAGGGTACAAACCCTAATCAACCAAACACATACATCCTTTCAAATCGAAATTATCTTAAAATTCATTTATTTAACTTGTCAATTCCACCTCCATTCTCATACATCCTGTACTTTTCGTTATTCAAACTAAACGTTCTGACTTCCTTTGTCTTATAAATTGATCATCGATATACCCATTCTTAAACTCTTCTTATTAATCCTGAGCTTTACTCAAATATACAATTGTATCCAGATCCATTCCATATTTGATTATCATATCCCGACAATATCTTACATTCTTATACTTCCCGTACATTCCCATCGCATATTCTTGTTAGCCAACGCTAACTTTTTCCTTCTAGAATGCAAAACAGTATCTACATCACTTGATCCATTTAAAATACTTCTTGTTCTTCACTTTATATATAATTTCTAGCAAAACTCTGAATTCATTCCTCCACTTTCATATATATATATATATCTTTAACTTTTCATTCACTTATCCAGAACCAGATTCTACTACTTAAATGAGTCTGACTTTCCTCCAATTGATCTTTTATCTTGAAATACCACCAATTCCAATCAAGTTTGTAGTTGATAATCATTATCTCTATCTCTCTTTGGTAGTGCTAATTTATGAAATACCAGTTCCCTTAATCATTCTGAGTTTTCTCCAAAACCTTAACACAATAACCACTTTTTGAAAAGGGACCCATTTCAACACCTACAACACTTCTTTAAATCCAGGCACCAGCCCTCTACACATCACTTGCATGCATCATTTTCATTTAAATTAGCTTCACAACCTTTCACTCTACTCATCAAATTGTACTCTTGTCTATACACATTACGATTTCCCCCTGTATCAAACTCATAAACTCTAGCTTCATATACCTTATACACTTGTCACTGATGCACTTATCCTGGAACTCTTTTGCAATTCTCACTGCATCATTTGATCTTTTAACGCTCTTATGGTGACACTTGTTCACCATATTCTATCTTATCCACGTCCTAACAAAACTAATCCATATCGTTTTTACGATTCAAAACCATGAAGATCTTCTATCACTATTCTAATATGATTTCAATCTTCTGAAATCAACCTTTAATCTTATAGACACTTTCTGAGGTTTCTACTCTTCATCTTGCCTGGCCAGGGCAGGTGAATTGCTATCACCATCAGATTTGTCAGTTATCGATTTACTTTACTTTGACAATTTCTATAATCAATTCTTACTATCTCATACAAATCTTATTCTATTAGCAAGACAGTATACTCCTTACACTATCAGATCAGAAATTTTCACCTTTAGTTGGCATGTACACATTTTTAAACCTCCTTTGACTTCGGTTTAAGCCTAGAATCGGCTAAACCTTAGCTCTGATACCATTAAATGTAACACCCCAACCCGTACCCGACCCGGATACGAGTCCGGCGTGTCATATTGACTTTTCAAATCTTGACTCTTAAGAAAAATCCCGGGAAATTTAAAACT